CACCCATTTCACAGACGAGGAGACTGAGGCGTGGAGAAGCTGCACAGCTTTCCCAAGGTCATCCTCCAGCTAGTAAATGGGGAGTCGGGATGCAAGCCCAGGCAATCTTGAGAACACATTGGACAAGACAGTGGCACAGTTCTGGAGCCATCCCTATGCCCGGGCTCACAGGATACAGGACTGCTGCGTCATCGTTAAATGCAGAGTAATGGGCTGGGCAGCGGGGTTCTGACCCCTGGGAAGACAGGCTGCCCTGTGACAAAGTGCCCCCTGACCCTGGGGGCCCCTGAGCAGTTTGTAGGCCCAGGCTGGAGGTCACCGAGGTCACTGGCCAGGAGCAGCTGGGTCCTGCGCAGCTGGGACTCTGCACGGAGGGGCAGGCACCACTTCAGCACATTGAAGCCTTCCCGGGCTCGGGCTCGAGCAGACTGGGGAGCCTGGAAACTGCCCAGACTGGAGGGGATCCTGTCCTGCCACCTCCTAATTCTATGAATCCAGTAACTCCTTAAATTACAAATGCATTTCATTAATCAAAAAGCCTCTCCAGACATTTGAAAAATACCATAGAACTAGCAATAATGATGATAATAACAAGTGTCAGCATTGACTGAGCTCCTTAGGTAAGTCTTTTCCATGAAATCCATGTCTGACTCATTCACCAACAAAAGGACGCTGAGTCCCAAAGGTAAGGGGAAGGGCAGGATCCCGAGGTACCTGGACCTCCGCCCCATCTGGCCCTCCAGCCAGCCTCAGGGAGGCCCTGGCCCGTCTGACCGAGGCTGCCCTCCTTGCGCCCTCCCCCTGCAGGCTTCTCGAACCTCTCCCTGGGGGACCAGATGAGCTTGCTGCAGAGCGCCTGGATGGAGATCCTCATCCTGGGCATCGTGTACCGCTCTCTGCCCTACGACGACAAGCTGGCCTACGCCGAGGACTACGTCATGGACGAGGAGCACTCCCGCCTGGCGGGGCTGCTGGAGCTCTACCGGGCCATCCTGCAGCTCGTGCGCAGGTACAAGAAGCTCAAGGTGGAGAAGGAGGAGTTTGTCACGCTCAAGGCCCTGGCCCTGGCCAACTCAGGTAACCGGGAGTGTGGGACGTCTTCTCAGGCCTGGGGAGCACCCCTCTGAGGCCTGTGATGGGGTGAGGCCCTTGTCCCCAAAGATTGTACCAGTGCAAGGGGAGGACTGGGGTTAAAAGGGTGGCGACGAAGGCCAGTATTGGCCGAGTGCCTCCTGAGCCCTGATTTGCAGGCCACTATGCTGGGCCCGTGACCTCCAGGCCAGCACACTGGTCAAGGTCAAAGATTTCAGAGCCAGGTGACCCAGAGTCAAATCTTGCTTCTTTCACTTGGGCAGGCTGTTTTACGCTGTGCCTCTACCTGTTCATCAGTAAAATGGGAACAGTAGGCAGTCCCTCCCCCACAAGACTGTGGAAATGATTTATTTGTCTGTAATTAAAATTATACTGACAACATACCTGGCCCATAATAAGTGCTCAACCTGTCAAATAAATTAGCTGTGAACTTATTTCACGCTTACAAACAACCCAAGGAGCAAAGTTCTTATTTTAACCCCATTTTACGGATGTGGAAACTGAGGCCCAGAAAGGTGAAGCCAATTGCCCAGGGTCACACAGAGCTAGGAGTACAACCAAGGTCCTATGATTCCAAAACCAACCTGAGCTCATGCCCATTCTTTGAATCTCTCAATCTAATTGCTCGGGTCCAAGAGAGAAAAAAACTTCCCAACGGAGTTGTTTAGTCTGGTGTTCAAAGGAGGCCTCGTTCCATTTCTTCTTCACTCCCACCAGCTCCTGGGGAAAAGGGCTGACACAAGGGAATGAGCTTAAACGTATTCTAGTCTGTGTCTGCACTTGGCGTCCACCTGTGCAGGGCACCGTGCCGGACGCAGAAGGAAGGGAAAGGCAAGGCCCCTGTCCTAGACACAGTGTCAGCATGCGCACGCGTCGTTCTGCGGCAGGCCGGCGCGTTAACGAGTTAACTGCTCACGTCTGAGTCGGATGGACCCAAGTTCAAATTCTAGCTCTGCTTCTTTTTTTTTTAATGATTTATTTTTTTGAATATATTTTTATTGATTTCAGAAAGGGAGAGGGAAATAGAAACATCAATGATGAGATAGAATCATTGATGGGCTGCCTCCTGCATGCCCCCTACTGGGGATCTAGCCCGAAATCTAGGCATGTGCCCTTGACCAGAATCGAACCCGGGACCCTTCAATTCGCAGGCTGACGCTCTATTCATTGAGCCAAACCAGCTAGGGCTCTAGCTCTGCTCCTTGGTAGCAGAGTGACCTTGGGCAAGTTGGCAATCTTCCTAGCTCTGTCCTTGTGTGTCCGGGGATATCCCAGTGCCTCCTCCAAGCACTTGTGTATGAAATGACTGACAGAAGATAAAGCACTTAGCCTAGTGCCTGGCCTGGAGGAAATGTTCAATAAATATTAATTATTACCATTATTATTAATATTAGAGGGCACAGAGCGTTACTAGCATGTGGAAGAGGGAGAGCTGGCTCAGACGGAGACAGTACAAACAGGGCAAGCAGCTGGTTTGCTTGATATTGTGGTGCTTCTGAAAGTCCCACATGCCAGGAAGCCTCAGTCCCTGGCTAACCCGGTCAGTGGGTCCCCCTCACAAATGGCTCCATAGAGAACACAGAGGACACTGCTGATGCCCCATCTGACCCCCTTCCCTGGGTCCCTGCGCGCGGGCCCAGCTGCTGAGTTTTGCTGCTGATAGCTCACAGTCCCTCCCTTCGCCAGAGACTCACCCTCACCTGCCTTGCCGGGAGGGGTACCTACTCCACCCACCCCTTGGCACCTTCAGCCAATGGTGGGCCCACCCAGGGGAACCAAAGGCTGAAGTCCTGGCAGGGTGGGGTCAGGCTAAGCTAAGGCTGCGTCCTTACCTTGCAGACCCCTGCCCTGTCCCCTCCCCCTCCTTTCCTTTCTCCTGAAAGCATGCCTGCTATGAACCCCCTGCATCTGAACCCCAGCCCCTGCTTCTAGGGAACCTGACCTAATCCAAAGAGGGAAGCATTTTTTTTTCTTAGTTCAAATCCCTTTTATTAGTAAACCCTTACAAAATAATAATTTAAAATTTGCAAGCTTCTGTAGAGACCATTTATGCCATAAGATTCCCCTGTTGCATTGGGTGTTTTGTTGGAGAATGCCAGTGCTGTTGGGGTCTTTAGTAGCATTAGATTGACAGGATGAGCAGGTGATACCCCTGTACAGTCCCCCTATTAGGAACATCTTGCATGGGTGTGCTCACTTGTTACAATGAATGAGCCAATATTGATACGTTATTATTAACTAAAGTCCATAGGTGCCATCAGGGTCTTTGCTCTGCCTTGTACGGGTCTAGAGGTTTTGACAAATGTGCAAGGACAGATCTCCTTCATCCCATGTCCTGCAGAGTAGCGGCACCACCCTCACCATCCCCTGTGCTCGCCTGCTCAGTGCAGCCTCTTAAGCAGCGCTGCGGAGGGGCTGGGAGTGTGGTGGGCACAGGAAGGGAGGGGACACAGTGAAATCAGAGGGCACAGGGCCACCACAGTGAGACAGCCAGCCTGGCAGGCCTTGGAGGGCAATTTGGAGTCTCCTGACCACTTCACAGCAGACCTGAGCTCAAGCTTATCCCAGCTGGGAGGAGGGAGTGAAGCGGGGAGGCCACCCAACTGTCACCTTCATGCCCGCCCCCACTCAACACCATGCTGCAAGGACTGTCAGGAGGCTCTGTAGCCTGGCCAGTGGCTCTCGCCTTGATCTCAACACACACAGACATGCACCCACGCTTACAGATATTCACGCACACACACACGCACAAATAGATACATACGCTCACACGGATACGCACACACCACCTGAGGTTTGGTGACATGAGCCCATCGGGAGCTTCCACCAGCACCCGGCTTTGCCTACATACACTCTGGGTCATGTGAGACCAAGTTCCAGGAGCCTGGACTTCTTGCCCCAGTGGCATCTACCGGGCTACCCTGCCGCTTCTGTGCAGGCAGAGGAAGCCTGAGGCGGAAGAGAAGGAGGTGGTGATGCTCAGGGCCCTGGCTGCACAGTGGAGCCATCAGCTGCGGGCAGAAACGGGGCAAGAACAGGGCTTCTGGGGGGTTAGGCTAGAAAAGCAGTTTGGGGTCATAGAGGCTCCCAGCTGTGAAGGGATCGGGAGCCATGAAAGATAGAGGGGAAGAGGAAGTGGCCTGTCTCCAGTCGCAAGGTACGCCAGTCACCCAGGCTGCACAGCGTGTTGGCTGGAGGAGAGACAGGGGCGGGAGGTCATCCTGGCGGCAGCCCCAAGGGCCACTGTGGGAGCCACTGCTCAGGTGGAGTGGACGGGACAAGGCCCCTCAGTGGCTCAGAGGGCTGACACTAGGCAGGAGGGCGAAGCACATCAAAGACAGGCTGAGCCCCAAACCCTGGTCCCTCGGGAGCCTGCTGGCCGCCGTTCACCCCGTGTCCCGGCCTCTCCAAGCCTCCCCGACAGCAGGAAAAAAATCATCGCCATTGATTTTGTAATTAACAGTTTATCAATGCCATCGATACAGACGTGCTGATGGATTGCAAAGAAATTAATCCTGCAATGTTATTTTATTTCATTTTTGGTCGAAGGCAGCTGCCAATTTTGGCCTCCTTGGGGGGGTGGGGGAGGGGAGGGGAAGCGGCAGAGGCACGGAGTCTGGATGGCCAGGTCCCAGCCGACAGGGCCTAGCGCGTCTGAAGTGCACACTCTGTAAACAGCTGGGAGAGTAGGAAGGGAGCCCTGCTGCCTCTGCAACTGGCAAAGGAGCCCTCACCGCCTTGGTATCAAGGAGCAGAAAGTGTGGAGGGGCCTTGGGTCTGGGACCAGTAACATCCCAGCTCTGCTAGGGCACTCAATCCCGTTTGGGTCCTCACCATCCTATATAATAAAAGGCTAACATGCAAATTGACCGAACAGGGGAAAAACCGGAACAACAGGTCACTATGATGCACAGTGACCACCAGAGGGCAGACGCTCAACATAGGAGCTGCCCCTTGGTGGTTAGTGCGCTCCCACAGGGGGAGCACCGCTCAGCCAGAAGCCAGGCTCATGGCCTGCAAGCTGGCAGGAACCTCTCCCACCTCCACGGCAGCACTAGGATGTCTGTCAGTCGGATATCCCCGAGGGCTCCCGGACTGCAAGAGGGTACAGGCCTGGCTGAGGAACCCCCCGAGTGCACGAATCTTGTGCACCGGTCCTCTAATAGTGAGAATAGTATCATGTACTAGGTGCTCACTAAGTGCCTGGTAACGTGCTATTTCCTTTAACCCTCAGCATCACTCTGTGAGGTATGCACTCTTATGTGCTCCATTTTACAGACCAGGAAACAGCCTCAGAGAGCCGAAGTAACTTGGCCAAAGCCACACAGCATCTAAGACTCCAGAGTCTTGTCTAGCTCATCCTACTGCTATCCTCCCAAGAGAAAGAGGCTGGGCCCTTGAAGGCACAGGCTGAGTGTGGACCAGGGGTGGTCATTGGTGTCCGCTGGCTGGTGCAGCTGCCCTTGGCAGTCTGATATCTAAACAAACCCAACATGCAAGGGAATTGCCCCGCTCCTTTGAGTAGTTCAGGAAACTTGCCCAGTCCTCCTGGATACCCCTCAGAGCTTCAAGCTCACTGATCCACATGCTCCCTTCCCCTCCCACCTTTGGCAGGCCCTGGGGCTGCAGTTCAGGGGGCAGCTCGGGGTCTTTAAGGAACGTCAGAAGAAGGCTGTTATTTTCCCTGGGGTCAGGGAATGGGTTTTAGGAGATTTCCTTTGCTTCAGCTCAGACCTGACTGTAACCCAACTATCAGCAGGCACCTCCTGCTCTGAGACTTAGGTAAATTTTGTTTGAACCTCCAATTCATGTCCTGAGACCAAAACATTCCCCAGGGTTTTAGATTGCAAGGGCCCCTTCCAACAGCTACCTTCACTGTGCCTCATGTGTCCAGCCATGATTCTCAGTGCCCACCATGTTCGCTGCCACAGGGCACCCCGACAGCTTAGCCTCTTCTATGTCTGTGTTCTGTAATCAGCATTTTGTAAGGTTAGCGATTGCACTGAAGGCTTGAGTTAGTGTCTGGCATCAGCAGAAGTGATGGTGCTGATGGTGATGGTGGTGATGATGGTGGTAGTGGTAATAGTGGTGATGGTGTGATGGTAGTGGTGGTGATGATGGCAGTGGTTATGATGATGGTGGTAATGGTAATGATGGTGATAGTGCTGATGATGGTGGTGGTGGCGGTGGTTGTGATGATGGTGTGATGGTAGCAATGATGGTGGTGGTAGTGATGGTGGTGGTTGTGATGATGGTGGTAGTGCTGGTGATGATGGTGGTGGTTGTGATGATGGTAGTGATGATGGTGGTGGTGGTGATGGTAATGATGGTGGTTGTGATGATGGTGTGATGGTAGCAATGATGATGGTGGTGGTGTTGGTGATGATGGTGATGGTGATAATGGTGATGATGGTGGTGGTTGTGAGATGGTGGCTGTGATGATGGTGTGATGGTAGCGATGATGATGATGGTGGTGGTGGTGATGGTGATACCACTAGCTAGGGCACTTACTTTGTACTGTTTTAAGCCCTTGACCTGTATTAACATATTTAACCTCTTGAGGTAGGTATGGCTATTATCTCATTTCACAAATGAAGAAAATGGGGCACCGAGAAGTTAAATAACTTGCCTAAAGTCACACAGGTAGCGAGTGAGGGACACAGGGTGCCACTGCCGCCAGTCTGGCTCCAGAGTCCCCCCGGCTCCTCAGGGCAGTTATAGGTCTGTTCAGGTTCGAGCCCTTCAGGGTCTCCGCTTCTGTCTCTCAAAATGTCCTCCATAGATAGGATCTCTCGCTGGGCCCAGCCCTCACTCTGCCATTGGCCTCTGTGCCCTCTGACTGGCAGCCCAGCCTCTCTGAGCCGTGGTTTTCCTCTCCCTAAAATGAGGACTCGGGTGGCTCCAAAGCAGAGCCCAGGGTCCTGCGGTGCCCCCCCAACCCCCGCCCACGGCGGCGCTCTCCACCCAGGGCCCCTGACGCTCTCCCTTGTGCCCACAGACTCCATGTACATCGAGGACCTGGAGGCGGTGCAGAAGCTGCAGGACCTGCTGCACGAGGCCCTGCAGGACTACGAGCTGAGCCAGCGCCACGCGGAGCCGCGGAGGACGGGCCAGCTGCTGCTGACGCTGCCCCTGCTGCGGCAGACGGCCGCCAAGGCCGTGCAGCACTTCTACAGCGTCAAGCTGCAGGGCAAGGTGCCCATGCACAAACTCTTCCTGGAGATGCTGGAGGCCAAGGTCTGACGGCCCGGCACTCGGACGGACTCCTGCCTGTGGACAAACGGCCGGCCGGATGCAGAGACCTCCTCAGCCACCAGCTTCGACCTGCAAGCCCGTGTCATGGCCACGAGCAGTCCCAGAAGAAGGGGCTACGTGCCTCCCGGCTGCGTGCAGAGGCCTGGGTGTTGGGGGGCGGGGAACGGGGATGGGAGGGCAGGGCGTGGGGCTCATCTGTAACTGGCTTTTTCTTTGGTATGTTTTTCCTCCTCCATGGGCAGTGCTGAGACTGGAGACCACCGAGGAGGGGCCCTCTCCCCACCAAACCACCCAGAGGCAGCTCAGACATTTCCACCCTCCCCCACCCCTGGCCTGGTGGGCAGCGCTGGCACCCAGGACGCTGGCACACTCACGTGGGTACCACCTGGAGCTGTTCCTTTCTCAGAGGGCAGGTGTTTGTCCCAGAGGTCCCTCAGGGGGCCCCAGGCCTTCCACAGGCCAGCAGGCCCCTCCCTCCACACGTCCCCTCAGCTCCGCACACACCCAGCTCCCAGCAGGGACTCGCCATCAGGAGAGCAGCTGCTAGATTCACGCATTTTCCTGGGTCCTCGGTATCCTGTCTCCCTGAACCTGCCTATCTCTTCTCCCCCAGGAGCCCCCTGCTTCTCCCCGCACCCCCTCAGAGCTCACCGAGACCCTGCTTCAGCAGCCAAGGTGGGGCCCATGGCTGGAACAGTGTTAGCTCACAGAGAGCTCCCAGGCCCCCCTTTCTCCTGGCCTTCCCCC